AAAAGCTTTGAATTAATGGATTTGTTTCCTTAGGCCGAGGCAGAGTGAAGATGTCTGCAGCTCTAAAACTGAAGAAAGACAAAAGTAAATGGTGTTTGGGTCAACTTTTGCTAAGGTTAAGAAACTGCTTGCCTGTAGTCTCAATTTATCAGGAGTCTTCCTCAGATATTGTTTTGAAACTGCATTCTTTTTCCTCAATACACTAAGGAGATTTTCTTTGGTAGAACTCATTTCGAGGTTTTCAAAATTATTAACAAGCTCTGAATCTTTTCTATATTCTCATCATGCATCATTTTATCTATTACTTTGTTTCATTTTGATTGTTTCTAAAAACATTCTAAATGAGATTTAAGCTAAAGAACATGATACAGACTTTACATATGCCTCCTAAATCTCTTAAAATTGGCTTTATTTTTCTTGGCTGGATCAATTGGTAATGTAAGTACCTAGTTACACGACTTAGAATAGTAAGGAATAAAAGTAAGTGTACCATGTTTTCTCAATTGCTTGTTTATAGTTATCAATTATTCACATTTCTCTTCCTGTGTGCATCAAATGCTATTATATGAAGGTCCCCTCTGCTCCAGTCAGTATGCAATTTTTTTCCTCCCTTGAGAGAAATTACCATGTACTCTGCAGCTCATTTTGCTTGGATTATGGAATAGTGTTATCTATAGCAAGGAAGAATTTAACTCTTTTGTTATGGGGACTTCATGTGATTGTCAATCGGTTATGCTGAGATGGATAATGGTACTGTTCAGTGACTATAATTTTATTTTTGCAGAGTAACTATCACAACTGCCAGTACAGAGGCCCACAGGAATCTTTTATGCCTTTTTACATGCACATAAGGTTGAAATAATGGCCTAGCACAGAAACAATTTATAGTGTATCTTATTTAAAGACCAAAAGCAGGACTGGATGCTCGCAGCTAAAATAGATTTGGATTGACTGTTTAGCTAAATATGGGAACTACAACTTCTGTTTTTTTTTTTTTTAAATAACCTAAAGCTTTGTAAATATGCATGTTTCCTCACTTTAAGCATGTCGTTTGAATTCAGAAATATAAAAAAAAATAGCACAATTTTGAAACATTTTGTTGTGTATGTCACATCATTAAATATTCACTACATACCAAAAGGATGCATACTCTTTTGGATATTATATTTATACAAAGCCATATAAAATAGTAATTGTTATAATTGCTTTATGTGGATTTTCTCATTCCATCATATTGTGAAGTAGTACTATTGTCCTCATTTTATAGATGAGAAAGCTGAAGCACATATTGGTTAAATAATGTATTTAGGAAACTCAGAAAGTTATGGCTTAACAGAGATGCAAATACAGTTCTGATTTTCAAACCCAAGTTCTTTGCCAGTATGTGTGCTATACCATCTCTCAATGCTATTACACACACACACACACACACACACACACACACACACACTTACTGCATACCGTGTGGCTAATGTTTGTATATTTTCATTTCCTGTCTCATTTTTCTACTTTAGCATAAACTCTATCATGGATTTCAATGAATTGTTTTGGAATTCTATATTCTTTATTCCCATCTTTCTTGTCTTGGAAGACTTCTTATGGAAGACATCAGAAACTGTCTATCTTTCAATTAAAAAAATAATATCAGTAGCTGCAACTTATTTAGGGATGCACTGAATTTATCTTCTTAAAGGTTATTCTCACAGAAACAGAAAAATACCTGCAAACATGATTTTATTTTTTTGAAGACTTTTATTTATAGATTCTATTACAGTGTGTAAGTCTCAAGTATTACTACAATATAACTGAGGACAAACTCAAACTCAAATATGAGCATTCATAGATGTATAAAACTTGTAAAGAATTCTATGTAAACAGCATTATTATATTCATGGCTATTTATGTATTTTTATGAAGCAATTCTTGTTTTCTTCAAGAATATGACATAATAAACCACAGATGTTTAAAAAAATTGGTGACCTCTATACATAGGCTCTAAACTCAGGTCAATTACTTGGCCATTCTAATTTAGCTGGCCTTCCTTTCATTACTTCCATTAATATTTCTCCAAAATTGCTATTTTGAACTGCTGTATTTACATATGCATTTATTCTTAACTCTTTTTAATAAAGCTATCAAAATTCTAAAAAACCATGCCAAACATTTAGGATTGAGGTTTAACAATCAGCATTTACAAACAGCCCACAAGTCATTTATATGTTTTACAAATGATATAACAATCAAAAAGGTAAAATGAGATTCTCCCAATTTTATCCAGATTGTATGTATAGATTTGTGTTCAAATCTGTTTGCTCCCATTTTATTCTAACTTAAATTTTGCAGTATAACTGCCATTCTACATCATTAGTTGAAATGAGTTCAGCGATTATGTAATGTAAATATTAGTATGACAATGCCTTTTGGAGGGTGTTCTCTCATAATTGGTACCAAATGGTAACATACATGAAAAGAGAAGTCCAATTTTTCTTCAAGCTTATGCTGTACTAAATGAGCGCTTAGTTCCAAATATTGTTTTTAATTGATAAAAAGTTAAAGCTAGACATTCTAACTAGGAAAACATATATATATATACACATATACGCATATATATGCATATATATATATATTTATATATGGTACCTCTGGCTTTAAGCACTCAGTTCACGTCCATTTTGAGCCCAAAGTGCAGAATTTTCAGAAATTCCTCACTTGCGATATATATGTTTGTACATATATATGTACAAAACATGTTATATTTTTAAAAAATTATAGTTCAGCATGAAATAGGAGAAAGAGCAACTTTGTAAATTTTTTTGAAATGCTAAGAAGAAAACGGTGATGAAGAACCAGTTGCCAATATTTTTTATTTTACATAAAAATCAGGTAATGTAAAAACATTAATAGTAAATCACACATAAACCTGCCTACAATACATCTTTCATACTATAGTCAATATGCAAAATGCAGTAATATTAATATGTGTTTAAAATAATGAGAATTCAAATTTAAAGTGATATTAATTTTTTAATTTAATATATTAAAAAGTCTTATAAATGTAATATATTTTGTATGGTTCCCTAATTCAACTATCAAAACTTATTTTCAACAGGCTTAGCAGTTACGTGATACAATGCTCTACATAATCTAGGAAAACACTGCATGGTATCTTTCATATTAAATAAAAATGTGGCTCAAATAACCAAAGATGAATGATTGAATAAGGTGTAAAGAATCTTTGGCCCTAGATTTAATTTCCTATGTCCCTTAGGATAAATGTCTACAGGTGATAATCTCCCTCATGGATGTTGTAAAATACATCACAATTAAAAAGTTTTCTAGATAGGAAGTTCTGTGGAAATGTCTCATTCTCTTATCTGTGTTTACTAGTCTCTCCCTCTTTCTGTCTATCATTCTCTATACCTCTTCATCTCTATAGATATGTTTAAATCTCCTTTATTCTTAACTGACCAGAACAAAAAAGACATTTAAGTACTTATTATAGAACTATCATTTATGTTTTTTAATTTAAAAAAGCAAATGAATGAAATACTTTCTATATGTTTGCTTTGAAAACTCCTATAAATCTAAAGGAAACTACTTTCTCCTTATATAACTCAATTTTTGCCTGCACATGAATAACTGATCAGAGAAAGATCTCATATTCCTGAAATAAACTTATGAAAAAATGCACAATAGCCATTTCTTTTCAATACACCATTAACAAAGAATTCTTAAAAACTAGATTTATAATCCTTGGTAGGACAACAGCTAAAACAAAATGAATATGCACTTGGTAAATTATAAGCTCAGATTACTTTATTGATTGATGTATAATATACCTCATAGTCATAGCATTTTAAGTAGAAAGTGACATCCTCCTCATCTTCATTGTGGAGGTCCAAAAGAATTACATGTACAAATTAGGAAAATTAAGTGCAAGAAAGCAGGTTGGCAAGAATCCCAGTTGAATGCTTTCATTCATACCAAAGACAACTCTGAGTTGAAAGGCTGCCTTCTATTATGATTGAAAGCATGCCATACACATTTAAGATGGTATACAGGTGATGCAGTAAATACTGTGCCCAAGTCATGATCTGCTCAGACAAGTACAACGGTATTTTTTTTTTTTTAAATAGCTACTTGCATATGAGGAAGCACTTCACTGAAGAGAAATATCAATCTTGTTTCATGTTAAAGGATGACTACACAATACTGAAAGAAAAAGCAGAAAAATGTGATGAAAGTTGGGTCAACATAGTCCAATATTAGATTGTATAAATAATAGTAAATAAAGCTTTCTTCATTGCTTCTTTTCTCAATTATCTTCATTTTTTCTTCTCAAGAATGTGATATGTACTTAGAATAATTTTCCATGTATTGTGGTTGGTGTATAAACAAAGAAGGATATAAAAAGAGACAGGCTATCAAGCACAATAGTCTAAAGGTAAACCTTATGTTGTTATAGGAGTCAAGATGAAAGAAAAGTATTTGTTGAAATAAATAGCCTACACATTTTTAATCCCATAGCATTTTATAGGCACATATAAATTGGTTCTGATGCAATATAGAATAAATTTAAGCACCTCAAAATATAGAATGACCTCTGTACATGGATAATAAAAGGGTCTTGCTCCCTAATATCAAGATGTTTTAACTAAACATTCATTACTAATGTCCATTCCTTCTATCAGGGCATTTCATTACAAAGCTAAGGCAAAACACTTTTGCAGATATCCAAATGATGGGTAGGGGTGTGTGTGTGTGTGTGTGTGTGTGTGTGTGTGTGTGTGTGCGCATCTGTATTTTAGTTTCATGGGAAACATGAATGTTTACAATTCTGTGAAAACTACAAGGCAGATGTGAACATTTTCTATGTGGTCTTATGATTTATTAAAAGCAATTCAAATTAAATTACCTTTATTTGCTGTAATCAATAGCCCTATTGAGTTATTCTTACAATTCTTACAGAATCATTTACCAGTGCAAAAATAGCCATCTGCTAATGCTGCCCACCTATCTTAGGGAATCAGAGCTAATGAGTGCACTGACTTCGAGAATATTTTGATAAAAAGTTTTGGCATAGACCTTCTTTGAAGAGTCTTATTAACACAAATATATCACCTTCACAGGCTGTAAACAGTGTATCAAATATGAAGCTCTATTTTTTGCTTTCCTTGCCATCTTTTCCTTCGTCTTCCTTTTCTGTTTTGTCTTCTTCATATTTCTCTTTGTCTGGTTTTGTTACACTATCGTATGAAGGTGGAAAATTGGTGGATGGAGTTGCATCTGTTTTTTCTGGACTTGAGTTCTCGTTATCATTACCAAAAACCATATCTTCTTTATTGGGCAAATCATCATCTCTCTCTCCATCTTTTATGTATATACTTGATATATTTTTGACATTTTGCCGTAAGCGGTAACGTCTATAAGCACGCTGAATGATAATAGCAGACACATCCTCCTGTTTTCGTTTCAGTGTAGTTGTGATGGGTTCATAGGACACTTTAGAAGGATTGGCTGACATAAACCTTTCTTCCATCTGTGAACGAAGAGAGTCCATCTCTCCACTTTCACCCAAAACACGCTTTGTAAAAGCAAATAAGATGTCGAGGCAGTGGATCCGGTCCCCACTGACCATGGGCAGATCCATGGCGATGAGCTGGACTTTGTTTGGTTTTGCTATGAGAAGAGGAGGGTCCAGGGCAGCTGCAAAATCAGAGAGTTTGCTATATTCTATAAACTGGGTGGCATCAGGATCAAACTTCTCCCAAACCTCATAGAACATCTCGAAGTCATCTTCACTAAGAGGTTCAGTACTTTCTTCAGTGGCAACACTGAAGTTCTCCAGGATGACAGCAATGTACATGTTCACCACAACCAGAAATGATATGATGATGTAACTGACAAAATAGAAAATCCCAACAGATGGGCTACCACAATCTCCTTCAACTGAACTCCCTGGATGAACTTTGTTGGGATCACAGTCTGGAGGTCCACTATTGAGAATAGGTGCTAGCAATCCATCCCAGCCAGCAGAGGTGGTAATCTGGAACAGACAGATCATGCTGTTGCCAAAAGTTTCAAAGTTGAACATGTCATTAATTCCAGCTTCTTTTTTAACATAGGCAAAATTGGACATTCCAAAGATGGCGTAGATGAACATGACCAAGAACAATAGGAGGCCGATGTTAAACAACGCGGGAAGGGACATCATCAGGGCAAAGAGCAGCGTGCGAATCCCCTTTGCCCCTTTAATTAGACGTAGGATTCGGCCAATCCTGGCAAGACGGATCACACGGAACAAGGTAGGGGACACAAAGTATTTTTCTATCAGCTCAGCCAGAAACATACCTGGCGAAGAATGAAGGAATAAAAAGAAAATATTTAAATTTCCGTCATACAGAAAATCCTAACTCAAAATGGTTTTCTCTTGCATCTTTTAATGACCTCAGGACATTTTATTGAAAGACGTTTTATAACAAAGAATTGAGCAATCCCAAAGAAAAATGATTATACTTACCATTTTGCAATTTTCCCTCCTTTACTAAGTTTGTGGACATTGTCTTTTACCTCCACAAGAAGTTTTTAATGATAAGAATAATACCTACTCATGTAGAAAATTCAAGCAATACAGTAAAACGTTAAAAAAAAGAAATATAAATCACCTAAAATATCACCAACTATAGCTGTTGTTAATATTTTGTTAATATCACTCCAGACGTTTTTCTATGCAAACACACACACACACACACACACACACACGAATGTAATCATGTTACACAGGCATTTTTTGCCATCTATTTTAGTCACTTCATGTCATAAAAATATTTCCATACAAATGACAACTAAGTAATTTCTTATAGTCATATAATATCTGTTCAAAATAACCACATAATGAAAACTTTTATGTTATTTCCAATTTATGATCTCCACAATGTCTTTTTGTCTAAAATTTATAATTCTAAAAATAGATGCCATCCTAAAATAGTGGGAAAGGCATGTACAGATAATGAAAAAACAAAAAGATGAAAAAAGAGCTATGGTAATGAAAGGGGAGGAAGGATAAAGTCAGGTATTGTGATTCACAGATATGACACGTTGGTTAAGAAATGATTGCATTTTTTTCTAAGCATAATTTTAATATTATTTGAACCTTTAAACTTTATATTTTACATATTTGAAAGCTAAAATTAATTAAATAAAAAAGGGGAAAACCCTACAACTTTAGTTTTTTTAAAAATTAGTTTCAAGTATACAGTACATTGGTTAGACATCTATATAGTTCATAAAAAGATCCCCCCAATTGCTCCCTCACTCCCCTGACCCTCCACCTAGCCATCATATTAATACTAACTGCATTTCCTCTGCTGTGCTCCCTATCCCCGTGACCATCCATCAGCTACTGATTTGTACTTCTTTAACCCTTCATCCCATTCTTCCAGCCCCCCAAACTCCCCTCCCCTCTGTCCATCGCCAAATTGTCCACTATACTTGCGAGTCTGCTTTTGAATAGCTTAGTCTTTTTATTCCTTAGATTCTGCATATAAGTGAAATCATATAGTGTTTATCTTTCTCTGTCTGACTTAAATACTTTCTAGGTCCATCAAAGCATTATGTTTTTCCATCCCCTTCCTTTTAGTCTGTGTCTTTTAATTTGAAGTGAGTCTCTTATAGGCAACATATAGAGGTCTTGTTTTCCTTTCCATTCATCCACTCTTTTAGTTGGAGAACTTAATTCTTTTCCATTTGAGGTACTTACTGATAGAAATGTAGTTGTTACCATTCTTTATTCCTTTTTTTGATACATGTTTTTTCTTCTTAAAGAAGTCCCTCCAACATTTCCAGTAATTCTGGTTTGGTGGTGATTAATTCCTTTAGCTTATTTTTGTCTGGGAAGCTATTTATCTATCCTTCAATTCTAAATGATAGCTTTGCTGGATAAATTATTCTTGATTGTATATCGTGGGTCTTCATCCTGTTGAATATTTTTTGCCAAGCCCTTCTGTCCTGCATAGTTTCTTTTGAGAAATTAGCTGCCATGGGTTTTCGCTTATAAGTAACTATCTGCTTTTCTCTCACCACTTTTAATATTCTTTCTTTGTATTTAACCTTTGGCATTTTAATTATGATGTGCCTTGGTATGGACCTCTTTGGATCCCTGGTTTTTGAAATTCTCTGAGCTTCCTGGGTGTTTATGTCCATTTCCTTCACCAAGTTAGGAAAGTTTTCCATCATAATTTTTTCAAACAGCTGTTCAAATTCTTGATTTTCTTCAGTTTCACCAGACGGATATTTGGACCCTTAATAGTGTCCCATATGCTCCTTAAATTATTTTTATAGTCTTGGCATCTTATCTCTTGCCATTCTGATTGAGTATTCTTGGCTTTCCCATCCTCTAGATAGGATATTTGATCCTTTTCTTTATTCACTCTGTTTCTTCCTTTGTTTATTTTATTTAATATACTTCTCATCTCAGATAATGTGTTCTTCATTTCTTTTATAATTTCCATTTCCATTTTTATGGTTTTTTTTTTACCTCTTTGTTGAAGTTCTCACTGAATTTAACCAAAAGTTCATTGAGCATCTTTATAACCAGTGTTTTGAACTCTGCATCTGTTAGATTACTTGACTCTATTATATCTGGATCTCTGTTCTGTTCTCTCATATGGTTTCTGTTTCTTTGTCCTCCCATTTTGGCTGCCTTTCTGTGTCTGTACTAAGCAAAGCTCCTAAGTCTCCTGGTCTTATTAGTGTAGATTTGTGAAGTAAGTGTCCAGTGGCACAGTTCTGAGAGGGGCTCAGCTACAGGCCAAATTTAGCTCAAGGATCTGCCCCTTGAGCCACCTGTCAGGATTCAGTAAGCAGTCCATAGATGCTGTGCTACACAGGGTCATACCAGAAACTGAGGCCAGCTGCCTCCACCATTCTGAGTCTCAGCAAGGAGCACCTGACTTGCTGAGGATACACCTTGATGTGGCTTGGGTGGGGCCCGATTTGGGGGAGGCGGGGTTTCAGGGACTCCTCTGGGCAGAGTGACATCTGTTATCCAGTTTGATGACTTCATGGCTATGGCAGCTCTGTGTCCACGCACTGGGAGTGGAGAGGACTCAACAGGGAACAACTGGCGCTTCTGTACCGAGTGAGTCTCACCTTGACCCTCACTCGGACAATGTCTCCCTGTAAGTCCCTGGTGCCCCTTGCCCACAGCTGAATCGGCACTGGTCCTCAGAGCAAGCAGGTCTGTCACTGCAAAAATCTGCTCATGGACGTGGCCCCTTTAAGAGATGTCTGCCTCTGCCACTGCTGCAGCCTCCGTCTCACGTAGCTGCTCAGGACTGGGCAGTCCGCATCCCTGCCCCGTCCTACCATCTGCCGTTGCAAGGTGCTTTCTTGGATTTCTCCCTAGTTGTGTGGCTTTTTCATCTAGATCCCAGATGATTTTTTCCTTGCTGCTGCTCGTTGTTTCCATCACAACTTTGTTTTGGTCACCAGAGGGATCAACAGAGCCTCTATCCTCTATGCCATTTTGGTTCCAATTTCCAAGAAATGATTGCATTTTATAGACTTGCCAAGTATGAAACCATAAGAAATGAAGGATTTCACAAGAATCACTAATATTATGGCTATTACTATTATCATTAATCAAATGGCAGTTTTCATATGGGCTAAAAGTGGAAGTGACTTCAGATTTTGCATTGGTCTTCTAAGACACACCTACATATAGATACAGTTGCTACTGTTGTGAAGGGTAATCTTGGAAATCTGGTACTGTAACAAAGGGTATTATGTGCTTCCAGTAAATAGAAAACTTGTGACTTTGGAGCCTGGAGCATGAACCCAGGAATTCTGATATGGTGGTTTTCTGTTTTGTAAAGTTTTGTTTTTAAGCTTCCTTCATTCTTTCATTTTACTAGCTCACTCAAAAGTAAATTTACATTCAAGAATTCAGAAACTTCTCTGAGCATGTGTGGAGTTTAGTTTGATTCGAAACTAAAATATGCTTAATAAATGGTCTTACCTACAATGGAGAGAATCACAACCACAAAATCAAAAATGTTCCATCCTACAGTGAAGTAGTAGTGTCTGAGGGAGATCAGTTTCAGCACACATTCTCCAGTGAAAAGGATAATGAAAACCACATTTATCCAATATAAGACATTAGTCATGTATGCACTTTGTCCTTCTTTTTCTACCATCATGGTTACCATGTTGAGGCAGATAAGAACCATAATGGTGATATCAAAAGCTTGGTTTGTTACTAGGTCAAATATACATCCTTGGAATTTGTTCTGCAAAGAAATAAAAATAATATGGAAAGTAGAGTAAACTTTCTAAGTAGTGTCCACTAATCATTATATTAGTAAAAAAAATTACAAAGCTATGTCTTTAAAACTTGTATAAATTATCCCTGATCATAGGATTTGTGCTTTCTACAAGAAATGTTATTAATGGATTAAATCAAAGTCAGAGTAAATGAAACTTTTGTTGCTGTTGTTGTTGTTGACTTTCAGCATATCAGACCAGGATTTAGTTAGCCTTGTATAATAATATTTGCTTTTAAGTTTATCCACTCTAGTATGTTATAGTCAATCAAAAGTACATTTATTTTGATTCTCTATAGGCCATTGAAGTAGTAAGTTGTGTAGTTAATATAAAAATAAAAGCATATAATTATTTTTAATTTTTATAGAAAAATTAAAAAATGAATATTGAAAACCAATAGTTCTGAATACATATATTGTTTTATAAAGACTTTCAAAATATTAGCAATTTTGTTCAAAAATTGTTCAAAATTTTGTTCAAAATATTCATGTTTAAGAAATGGTTGTACATTAAAGGTGAATTAAAAATATTTTAAAATTAACTTGCTAACGATACACACACACATATTTTTTACCCCTGGTCGAGGTATTGGCTTTTGGGGTTTCTTAGATCCCAGCTTTTTCATTGCATTATAGTATTTCTTCTGTTCTTCTGTCATAAAGATGTCTTGACCTCCAAGGTAAAAAAAAAGAAAAAAAAAAATCTAGTTAAAACCAGAATCATTTCCTAGATCTTCTCTCAGATTATTAAGACAGGTTGAAAATGTATCAATATAGAAATGAAATGTATTTTTTATATGCAATGTAGCTATAAATAAAACTTGTTTTAAAGGATTACTTATGTGTAAGCACATGACTCTCCATATATAATGTAATGTGCATATATAAAATATATGTTATTATATATAATTATAATTGGCTCGATTTTCTTTTGGAGAGATAATCTGTATTATGTTAAACTGTGTGCTGATATCTTATTTCATCTGCTACTTGTGTTACCAAACATTTCATTGCTAAATAATGAATATATGAAGAAGGGTTGTAAGAAATAAAAGAAATGAATTTTTTTTTGATGATTTGGCTAATATTTAGGACTCTTATGAAGAGCTGGGGCCAAATAGAGTAGCAAAAATAGTATTAGATTTATATTCATTTGTGTTCATTTTAAAATGCCATATTCTTTAGCAGACAAAAAAATATAATAAATATGTAACACACACATACACACGTGTTTGTGTGTATTTCAAGAAACTCTTTAGCTATCTTTTTAATTCCAAATAAAGTATTTCAAGATAAACAATTTTTGGGATATCAACCTTATGCATAATAGAATTCTAGGTACTGAGGAAACTACTAATAGTCCAGGATCCCTGACCTGAAGGGCTTTCTAATTGAATATACAACCTTTAAGATTCAACAACAAAATAAAACAACAAAAAAATAACATCTATATAAAGTTTTTGATTCTTTCCATACTGTGTAAGCCTAAATCTCACAAAGGGGGTCCAGAAGCTTTGTCTTTTCTTTTAGGGTCTGTTAATTTCTTAAAATCATTTGTAATTTTTACAGATTCATGCATACTCTACATTGATCTATAATATCATTTTTTGTTGTTGTTATGGCACAAATTAGTATAATTCATGTAATTAGAAATAAATTCAGGAGAATTTATAGTTCTGAATTCCTTACTTAACTTGTAGGGTCCTGGAGTTAAGATGATCTGGTTATGGTTTTCCTTTAGTTTTCCTGGATTAGGTAATATTCAGCTTCATGTTATATTGAATTTAGAAAAAAAATTATCAAATACCAATGATAACCAGATTCCCCTTTCTGTCTTGAGTGTTTTCATTAACCTTTCTTCTAATTGGTATGCAGTCTCTTTGTAATTTTGGTATCCATCCGATCTATAGATAGTAGGCATGAGAGTCTCCATACCAATGTCAAGAGAAGCCCAGACTCTTTCTTGCTCACTGATGGGGGGGGGGGGCTGAATATCTTAGCATGTCAAGAACTTACCAGAAGAAGCTAGGAAAACACTGGGGAGAGCATTCTGAACTACAGGTAAAAATAAAAGGACAGATTTTGTCTTCTCTTGATAGATAATACTCCAACATAATGGAGGGTAGAGTGAAACTAAGAGGAGATTACAAAACCCTCCAATAGCTGAAACAGAAATCTCAGGGGAGAGCCTCACTTGTAACATTCAACAAATCTTCATTTCCATTACAAGTATCACTCCTTCTGCTATAATATAAGCTCCCTGAGCTCAGGAACCATATCTTATGTTGTTCTCCCCTGAAGCACCAGCCCAAAACATACCACGTAGAACAGTGGCTCAGAGCAAAATGAAGAAACTACTTATGACTGTATTTTGAATAAATAATTAGTGTATTCATTTTTCTTAATTACTCAGTCCTCTACAGGAATCACTGAAAAAAAAATCTGAATAGTTGCCACATTGAATAGTTGCCACATTGCTTAAAAATAGTTGTGACTTAAGATATTATTTTCTGTGTAGAGATAAATGAGATTAACCATATCTGTAATTGTATACTGGCCAAGTATTTGAAAAAATAAATGGAATTCTAATGAAGATAATTATTAATTGATATAAAATTAAATTTCACATTATATTTTTGGGAAAATAATTGTTCCTATTTCTCAGTGCAATGAAAGAAACTTAAAATACTTATCTTTTTTTTCTGTTGGTTAAAATTATCTATGATGACACCAATGAACAAGTTCAAAGTGAAGAATGACCCAAAGATGATAAAGATGACAAAATAAATATACATATAGAGGCTGTATTCATATATAGGTTGCTTGTCTACCTATAAAATTAACAAAAGTTAGCAGTATATTAACAATAATATTCATCATTTTCTTTTTCAATGGTTTGACAAGGTAATTCAAACTGTGCTATTTTAGGTAAACTAGGCTTTTTCAGAAGCCAAGATATTGTTGTGGCTCAACATAATCACTTAAAATTTTTTTCAACATTAAATATTTATTACATTTACTATGTATATGAACATAATCTTCAAATGACTACAAAGGGTTTACCCATATATAGTACTTGTTCTCAGATTAGTAGGACAATTTAGTAATGAAATGCCCTAAAGTATGCTTTTGTATTTCCAGAAAAGACTGTCAAAGAGATGACACCATATTTATAGAAATTTTGCTGATTCCTTTTTTCATTTGGTTACAGAAATGTCTTCACTGGATTTAATTTTCTTAGCATGGAACTTATTTCACATAAACATTTCCATAGCACTTTAAACTATAGAATAATATATGCTATTTCATATTTATTTTGATAGACATATTTACTGAGCACTTATTACTGCTAGGCTGTGCTAAGTGCCCTACTTGCATTTTCTTATTGGATCCTCAAAACAATCCCATAAGGTAGGCATTGAATTATTTTCTTTATACAGTCGATAAATAGGCTCAGAGAGTTAATTTGCTCAAAGTCGGTTGCACAGCTTGTATGATTTGGTAGCCAGAATTTGAGTCAAGGTCTGTCTCCAAATGCTGCACACATAATCATTAAGCTATTATTAGGTAGAAGTTCTTCAGTTTGTGTGTACATACTAAGGGCTCCTTGGAGCAAATGTTTGAAAATAGCTGAAATAAACTAAGGAGTTTAGTTATATGTTGACCAATACTTACATTAACAGAATCAACAGCTGCATACATAATATCCATCCATCCCTTAAATGTTGCCTGTAAATATAACATTTACAGAATCTGAATGTGAAGCTCATACTCTTAAAGCAGCAATACATGAATTTAGTCCATTTAATGTTATAACATTTAGTAGGTAATATCAAATCACTGTTTTATTATATATTAAAATATCAATTTAATATAAAGGTGCTATGCCAAGAGCAAAAGGACACATTCTCAATTCACATTTTAAATCTTAGTCCTATCTAGTTATTTCCAGGTTGTTACAATTCTTGAGAATTATGTGCATGAGTTTTTATTTTTCCAGAGGTAGAGGAGAATTTTATGAAAAAGGCAGGAAGCGGAATTTTCTCCAATTCTTAACAATTCTCTGTGGGAAGTCTCTCTCATTCTCATGTAGTGTAAAACTGGCAATCCAAAAAAAAAAAAAAAACCACAACAAGCTATTTATATTTGGAGCAAAATTCAGACAATGCAATGGTGAGGGGCCAAATAACCCCCCAAAGCCAGCTATATATAAATAACTCTTGAATGCAATAGAAACTATGCTTTTTGAGCTCATTTTTATAGGCATATAATCTAAGAAACACCAAGTGTTTTTTTAAAGACAAAAAGTACTTTAAGTTTCTAGTTAATAGATTATTTAAAATAATGACTTCTATCCTTCATGCAGTATCCACAAAAATATCAAGCATTCATGAAAGGGGTCACTTACAACTTGAAGCAAAGACAGGTAACCAAGTCCAACATTATCAAAGTTCACCTTCAGGTTTTTCCATCGCACTTCCCGACTAACATTCATCAGTGCAAAACACTCGGAACGATTGTGAACTTGAGTTGTAGAAAATCGTGACCCATCTGTGGTGTTAATGCACTCATAGAACTTGCCGGCAAACAAATTTACTCCCATGATGCTAAATATTAGCCAGAATATAAGACACACAAGTAGCACATTCATGATGGAAGGAATTGCACCTATGAGTGCATTCACGACCACCTAGTATTCAAAGAAAGAAAAGAATGATTAGGATTCATAAAATGTTAAATGAGTTACATTAATGAAACACTGTGCATTATTAAAGAAATTAGGAAAGCTGTCCTTAAATAGTTAAGACATCGAATCAATCATATCGACCAGCCAACATGTATTAGCTGAATGCTTACTATATGTTCAGCAGTAAGCCAAGCAAGATGAAATGAGACAAGAGCCTTGTGATCAAGGAGTTAACAAAAATATATGATGAACACACAGTGAAACTATTAGCAACAATACAAAATGAAATAATGAAGATGCTATGACAGCTTAAATAAGCGAAAAATAAATAAAAATAATAAACCAAAACCTGATATATGTAAGATGAAGTCGTAAAATCTGCATACTCTAGAAAAGAAAAAAATCATAAATATAAATGATAAAAAATAAATAAAATGTACATTTAAAGGTTTGTAGTCCTAGAATACCAGTGCAAAAACTCTCCCATATAGAGAAACTATTGGTGCATATAAACTGGAGTTAAGATTAAGAATCTTTTAATAAACCCCTTTGATTTAAGTGATTCTGCCAATTGTGTGATATGTGAATTCAGTTAAGATTTTGGAACCTCTGTTTTCACATCTGTAAAATGAGAACTATCTTTTCAAATTTATTATTCTAACTCTAAAAATAATTTATATATGTCCTTGGCTAAACATAGATCATGCTGGTCTCAGTTAAAACAAAAATGAAGTATGATTTATCTTTAAAACTTCATTTATTTCTGCTTTTCAGCATTTCCATTGCTACCGATCACCAGTGCCTCTTGCCACTTCAACTATCCTGCATGGCGACTATTGTAGCATTCACCATTCTCCAGATTTTCTTAACTGCCCCATCCTTCAAAATCTACCTGTCTTCTAACACTTCAGCTCTAGTCCCAGTTTGAGTACAAATGTGTTAAAAGACTAATTTGTTAAATAAGAGCATTGTGCTCCTACATTTTTTTTTTTGTAATATATCAAACAGGCACTTAAGACATTTCCAAATGGTGAAACATTAAGGATTTCAGACTCCCTTTGAGATTTTCTAGAGCAAGGGGTGGCAAACAGTTTAAGTACTTTTAGGCTTTGATAATTATATGATCTCTTATTCAAGTCTACTTTTTTACCCCATTTCCTGCTAACCTGCATACTGCACTTATCACCGAGGCTCACTGATCCTTCCAGTCATTGCTCAAATGTGCCTTCACACTCAGCTCTGTGTTTCTCCACCATCTGTGCTTCTGCATACCATGCATCTCTGTCTTGTAATGCCTACTTGCCTGTGATTTGGGTTCCACTCTTTAGTCATGGCTTCCAAAGTCATCTCGTTTTAAAGCCTTCCCAGACTTCCCCAGGCAGCCATTCTACATCTATGTTCCTATAGCATTGTATGCTTACTGTTTTATAGCAGGTCATAGAATAACTACTGTTCCCCTGTCTCTTCATGACCATCGTCCCTCTGCAGTCTTAGGGGATTAGGGTCTATTCACCACTGCAGTCTTTTTACAGCACAACAGCTGACACATGTTAGTGTTTAAAATGTTTGCTGAAAGAACGTGAGCAATGATGGGTCTGAGGGAGATAGGTACATACTGCTCTGAGGAGAAGCCACTGTCGGGAAAGTCAATAAACTCAAGAGCTTCGAGACTACAAGGAAGCTAACTATGAAATGCCTCAAATCATTATTTCACTTATTTTTCAAAATGACATGCAGTGTGAAGAAACATCTCTGTTTTGCTTGGTTAATAAGTGTAACTAAATAGACATGTTTGCCTCTCCAAATATAGTAAAACATTCTTCTGCATTCAGTTCACCGGTATCATAAATAAAGAACAAAAAGCAAATGATAAAATATCAGGCTAGCTTAATCACTGAGGGAAATAGTTTTGTAGGTGCAAGTATATTATTTGTTCATGAAAATGGTGTATAATATCTACTTGAGTCCAGGAATCAGTCTTAAATTCTAGATAGATTGTAACATTCTACTAATGCTCAAAAAAATGAAGGCAATGTCAATGAATTCCAATAACATCTTTCTGTATAAAATGTAATTTAAATTTTACGTATTCTTTTTGTATAATCATGCTCCCTCATTTACATGGAGCCACTGTACACTGGATTCATTAAGCACTAGATGTGACAGTCATAATTAGGTTAGTAGGTATATTAATGAAAATCTAGACTAAAAGATCTCTAATATTCACCTGAGATTTCAAATTTCTGAGACTCATCTCAGAGTTTATGATTCAGTATGCCTGGAGTGAGGCCTGAGAATTTGCATTTCTAATAAGTTCTCAGATGATGCTGATAGCTAGTCAGTAGTCCACACTTGGAGAAGCAATGAGTTAGACTAATCTGCATGTTAAATCGTTCAGAGACCGGTAGAGAGAAAGTCGGATAAATAAATAAGCAAAATACAATATAATGAAGGTTTTATGTGTCTGAATGTAGAAAAAGGACACCCAATTATGCGTGTCAGTGGACAGAAAAGGCAAATTTAAATTGAGGCTTAAAAGTTGGGTAGGTGTTTATCTGCTTGTGACAAGGCAGGGAGAAGCATTCCTGGCCAAGAGCACAACAGAGGCTCTTTTGGAAAAGAAGAAATGTGAGGAGAGCAGCAACAGATGAGAATATGAGCTAATTAGAGAAAATATGGCCATCATCCTCTTTATGAAGAATTTTCTGGTTTAATATAGCCCTTAAAGGTAGGTTGCTGGTAGTCATCATTTATCTCACTTTGTTTTCTTTGCAAAATGAATCTCTTTCCAAGCTGTATGCAGCCTAGTGCAAATTATGCAAACTCTCAGAGCTTTAGTTTTCTCAGATGTAATTTGGAGATAATTCCACTTTCATTGAAACATTTATTTTAAGGATGAAATTAAAAGCAATGGTTGATGTTACTCCACTTCCTTTTCTTTTCTTATGCCCTTTTCCCAAGGTAGTTCCTTAAAAAGTATTATTTGAACACCCAGTACAGGCAAGTCCTTGACGACTTGCATATGAGAAATGTTGCCAGGACTAATAGTGTCCCCTTCACTTGAATTTCCTAGCATGGGGATTTTCATGAAAGAAGGGAAAAGTCATTTATTTGGATCGGTGCCTAACGATATTATATAAAGGAGACATTACTACGGTATTCGATTTACTCTGTTAAACAATATGCACTGAAATACTATGTGTATATGCACATGTATACACACATATACATAAACAGTTCATATATATGTATGTATATGTACATTTGTAGAAACAGTTCATAATGTCTATGTACCCACTATTTTACTATTTTATAATCCATTTAAAAAACAAAAATACTATACTAGGAAGTTTAGTAGTTTCTTACCCTCATTCCTTCAAATCTGGATAAAGCTCTTAGAGGTCTCAAAGCCCTAAGTGTCCGGAGGGATCTGATGGGGCCAAGGTCCGAGTAGCCCAGAGTGTTTGCAACTAAAGTAACCAAAGAAACCTACAAAAAATTAAAGCTTTCATTAATCATGTCAATGAAATAATAAAGCATAAGGAAGAAAAGTCAGTTTCAAAGATCATTAAGAGCAGCTTGACAAGAACAATATGATTTTAAACAACAAGTTATCTAGTCATTGCCTAACAAATGGGTAATATGGATGCTTTTATAAGGACATAGCTTTGAAGGAAGGCTAACCAAAATAAATAATAGAAGGAAAGTACGTTATTTCTTATATCTGAATACAAATGACATGTGCTTTTCACACTTTGGTGGTTAATGATTATGTACTTGCTTATTAATTCTGAGCATTTAAGTAGAGCAACCATCAAAATTTCGATTGAAATAAAATCCAGGGCAAACAAAATGTGGGATTCTGAAGCCAACTCATAAGAGTGTGACATTAACTCAACCAAATGTAAGTCCTAGTATAAATAAAACTTATTCAAAATCAATTTGAAGACTCATGATTTTGAGATGGGGCTAACTCCCCATAAGATTATTGTGCCTTATAACTTCTCATAACAGGCAAAAATCATCTGCTTAGTAATAATTAGTGGGAGAAAATCTTAACTGTATTGATGAGTGCATGAGTAGGTGATCTCACTGGCTGCACAATCAACACAGAGATACACAACTTCATCATGTGAGTCAGACCTGCCAAAATTACCACAACAAGTATCCAAGAGAACTTTGTGTTCTTGTCAAAAATTATCTCAGAAGAAAAAACATGGACAGAATTAAAACTAATGCACGTTTTGGTAATAGAGCAATGAGCTTCTCAATGTCCTTAGATCTAGATCTATAAATGCATTTAGTCTCTGAAAAAGTTCCATTAAAAAGTATTCATCTGTTTTACACTATGTGTAGGAGACAGTGTACAAGAACAATGTTTACAATGCAGCTTATTACAAATTAAGTAAAGACTAACATATTCAAGTTTTTCAGGGAAGAATAGGAATACCCAGGAGTCAACTTTTGTTTAACAAGTGTTGACAGAGTAGAAAAATTCATTGCTCACAAGTTTACTGCTGCTACTATCAGAGACAGGTAAATGGATTTATGGATCAGGATGTGTTGAAGTGTTTTTGTTCGCATGTAGTTACTTTCAAACGTCTCACCAAATGTAACACTGTTCTTTTTTAAGTCCTCGTGCTATATATCCAGCAGAACTAATTGTCGCTCTTATCATTCTTAAATTCACCCAGTCATTCAGGTGCATTATTTTCCACTTAAGTGAGCTTTAAAAAATAAGTATACTTTTTTACTGAGTTACAAGTATTCCTTTTCAAGCAGAAAAAGGTAAAGTTTCAAAATGTCTATTATAATTTAAATAGCTCCTAAAAATGGGAGACCCAATCTCCAAACCACTGTCAGGTGGTACGATATTGAAGATAATAGATGTATAGTACTAAGAAAACTTAAGTATAGTTTGTAACTGACAATATTTATAATGCATATACATCTATTTATTTATCTATGTAAACATATGCATATACATGCCCATACTGATGAATAATGAGCTATCATTATTTAAGTTTCAAAAAATCAAAAAGCCTGCAGACATTAAACGAGTACTCCAAATATCAAATTAGATCAGTGGTTCTAAAACCAGAACCATTTGGAAGGGCTTGTTACAACATTTTGCTGGGTCCCAACACCAGAGTTTCTGATTCGGTAGATCTTGGGCAGGTCCTAAGAACTGCATCTCTAACAAATTCCCACCTACAGGTGCCAATGATGTTGGCTTAGGAATCACACTTTGAAAACAACTGCTCTAGATATGCTGCTCAAGTTTTGAGAAATTAAACAAAAAAAATCTCAGCTCCTCCCCCAAATCTACATCCCTAGGTTTGCATCTCTACCAGCAAGAATATTGTGTGATGCTTTGCTCTCCATGTTACATTATAAAAACATTATATGTGATATATATTTATATATTCACATATATAAATATTTACTTACCTTTTTTCAAAATACAAATTAATATTTCAAATTGAAGCTGTATACCTCCCTGAGTTCTGCATATTACATTCCCCTAAATATTGAGACTCACCATTTCATATTTTCAAATACAAAACAAATTTGTTATTAAACAACTGCATATTTTTCTTAATTTAAAATAAATTTAATTCTGCTTATAAACTTTTATTTCCTAAGCTGTGTGATAAAAATAAACATGTTTGTAATAATAATTAAAAGGTTTTTGAATATCTTAAATATTTTATAATAACTTTTGAAATAATCATATTTAAAAGTTAAGAGAAAAAAATAACACATACCTTGTATTATTTCTTCTTATTTTGGTTAGCCTTTCTTTAATACTATTATACTACAAAAGCATCTATCATATCATTTATTTTTCTAGGCAACATATATATAAAGGTGAATCAAAAAACAATCAAACAACATGAAATCATTAATGTAAGGTATTGAAAATTAGATTTCTCATACAGGAAGCCCAAGAGAACGTAAAATTAATACCTATACTGTAGGAAAAATTTTTTCGCACATCATCTATATAGAAATTGTTATTGCTTTTAATGTTTTATGTATTGAACTGTTAAAAAGGAGTTTACTGAGCTTTAGTAACAGTTGAGAAATTGAATTTTGTGTAGGTATGATTAGTTTTGGCTTAATTTTGAGTCAGATTTCGCTGTATATAGTCATGTTTATCTGTAATTTTGATGTCTATAAATGGTTCTATATTAATTTATCTTTTCTGAAAAGTCTGGTAATACAAACTCTTTGTTAAATGTTAGAGAAGTTATCGGTACTATAAAAATTTGCATTTGCCCTCGAATTCCAGACATCACATGGAAAACAAATCTCTAAACACTATGACTGATTATAGGATGCTTCTTCCTTTACCACAAAGGCTAGATTTCGGAAAATTTAGGAGAATTAGTAAAAGATTGAAGAACATAATTCGTTCTGAGAAAAATAAGTTTAGGAGATTGAGGTCATGAATTAAATTAAGAAAGCCTTTTAAAATAACATAAAATATTACATATGATAATTGTATTATTATATACTATTAGATTATACCATTGAAATATAAAATAAAAGAATTAGAGTATACTAAGTAAAAATGAATTGATAATAATGGGTGTTGTACTATTAATTTCTATTTGAGATTTCTTGATCTCACAAGCTGTTTTAGGATCTCTTTCCTGACTATTTCAACAACATGCCTAAAAAATATTTTTGCTTAGTTAAAAATAATACATAAACTGAAGTATTTTTATGCATTTTCCATCATCCAAGTATTCAACAGTTCTCTGAATTTATTATTTGAAATTATTAATACCAATTTTTCTGCTCCACTGCCACTCTAGAGATGAAGGTAAGTGGGATATTTGAGATGGAGACAAGAGCTGTGACACATTTTAATTTTCTCTATCATTGTGCCTGAGATAAATATTTTGAAATTCCATGTCTTCCCTTCTCCTGAACAGAGGGTTATTTAGCTTTAACACTACCATTTTTATATAACTTTCAGCTAACATCCCACCTTCTAGTTTTTCATTTCATTCATATTTCCAATGTGAATGATATTCAAATCAAATAATACATATTTAAAAATTACATCTTCTGATTTCAGAAAACACACAGGAGTAAATTATATATGTCAGAATGGTACAGAATTTACATTTCTTGAGATGTTTCTCTTTCAATAATCCTCACAGATATATTTCTACTGGCTGTATTGAAATTTCTAAAAATATAAAGGTTTACTATTGCCTGAAAGTACAAAAAGCTAACCAAAATTAAAGTGTGCTAATATATAACATTAGTGAAGGTTTTTCAGAACACTTATTTGTAAGAATAAATCCTCTTTTAAAATTTACTCAAAGTACATACATCAACAATTAAGAAATCCAGCCAACACCAGGCATTGGTGAAATACGTTTTATAACCATATGCTACCCATTTTAGAAGCATTTCCAGGATGAAGATGTAAGTGAATATCTTGTCAGCATACTCCAGGATAATCTTAATGGTCTTTTTCTTTTCAATATCTATATCTTCAAAAGCCTGTGGAAATAACATTCCAATTTCAATTTATGTACAACTTAAAGGTTATGATTTATAACAAAAACAGGAAATAAAATTCTGATAGAAAACTACTGAAATAGAATACTATTATGAAACAGCTGACTTCTTCTGATTTACAACTACTGTGTAACGCTCAGTTCTAGACTTCCCACCAGTTCACATCACTGGTCACCAAAGGTCAAGAGAAAGAGGGTGCAAAAGAATGGAATGAACCAGGTCTCTGACACTTGTAGGGATTTTTACTTCATCTGACTCCCTTTTGGTCCCTCTTCAAATTGGATAAGACCTAATAGTTAAGGACAAGATTCTAGCATCAGCCCCTCATACATCTTTCTCAACCTGTACTCTCCTTTGCGTCCACCAGTACTATCTGGAGCCTCTCCAACAGCTCTCACATGTTTGTGCATCCCCAGTGCCTATCACTGGGTTAGGAACACAGCGAAGACGAGGAAAGGTTTGCTAAATGAACAAGCGCAGTATCTTAGGAGGGCTAGAGAACACAGAGGGTGGTTTCTTTCTTTGAATTTTGCACAATAGTTAACATTCATTAAAAGCTTCAGCTCAACAAATCACTCATATTCATTCCATGAATGCGGCACATTTTAACACTCTCCAAGAACTTTTAGTAAGTGACAGATGATACTGTGGTCACAGCCGCAAGTTCCTTGGGAAATAATTTGAATGGACTTAAAGAACTGAGCTCACTGAAGACACTGAAAATGACTGCTGACCTAAACAAGTCTAAAGTATTAGAATTTTCTCTTTAAAGTTTAAACAATATTCACTATGTTGGAAAAGATGAAAGCAAAAAGGCCTGTATCCTTACATGGATACTATCTGTCTATAATCACGACCGCATTCCATTCTTACTCTTCTTATTTCAAGTTCTTCTATCAATGCTTTAAAAATGACCCTGAGCACTTTTTGCAACTGCATATTAAAGAAAACAGAGAAGCTGGGGCAGAGAGAATGGGTAGATTTACCAAGATGCTAAAAGAAGGTTCCAGCAGCTAGCAGAGGTTCTGAAAGCCAATGGAACTAAAGTGTAAGGGGAGATGTCCAGCCCTCAGTATTTTCCTGCCTCCCTTCTCCAAACTGTAGAAGAATCAGGCAAGCTGCCCAAACAGAAACTATGGCAGTGCCTCAGTCTTTGAAATGCAAAGATAAGGAAAGGGCTTGATCGCAAAGAAGATGGGTGCTGTTTCTGGAACTAGGGTGCAGAGCAGGAAGCAGCAAGTCTTGATGCTGAAAGCCAAATACCCTGCCTGAGTCCACTCTGTTCTGACTAGTCCCAGAGCCTGAAATAGTATTCAGCCTGCAGGGCTCCTAGCTTCGAGGACTAATTCTGTGGATGTGGGAGCGAGGAGGCAGGTTGGTCATTGCATGAGCACTATCAGATCTAGGCTTTACTATTACTCATTCCAGTTACCACTCATTTATTTCTATCTGTGTACATCCCTTTCTAAGCAGCCAAAACACAGTAAAAAGATAAAGTGGCTTTTGTTTAGACCTTTATTAAGTTATGGCTCTGTCACCTGCTAGCTTTGGGACATTAAGCAACTTTTAAAACTCTGACCTAGCTACCTAATTGGCTAAATAAGCAAAATATCATAATTTCACAGGAATGTTCGAAAATTAAAGGATAAAACTGATATAAAGATCTTGAAATGTAATAAATATGAACTAAATTAGAGCTATTTTTATTTATTTTATAGACAGGTATTTTAACTCTAAATTAATTGGCAAACTCCCTGAGTAAAAACCCCAGCTTCTTGAAATACTTTTCTCTTTTCTTCCTCATGATTCATCTGAATTTCAGTTTTGAGAGGGCCCCTCCCCCAAAATATCATCTTTCTTTTTAGATATTTTGAACAAGGAATTACTCTAAACTTTGCTTTAATTCTTTCGTAATCCATTTTTTGAAAATCTCAGTCACACATGTGACTCAGCATGGGATAAGGTTCCTTAGTTATTAGAAATACGAGCTAATATAGACACTATCAAGATTCCCACTTGTATTCAATGAGATAAGTTGAGTGACACTTTCTTATTCATCTTCTGTTTTTTAGGGGAAACTTGTTAGGAGAGGCAATCTACTGTGGGCTCTGAGAGTCCCTGCATATTCTTGTTGGGTGTGCCAAGAATGCAAGGCCTTGACTGCTCTTTATCCAGGCCATTTCTCATGATTATTTTTGCAACAAGCAACCTTGAGAGATGAGACAGCGTCTCTCTGTGGGACAAAGAGCAAGGTTGCCTACTGCTTGCTATGAGAGGATGGGTTCCCTAAGCTCAGTGCTCCTCAGCTGTGATGCTAACCCACTGTGTGTGCAGTATTCATTTAGCTCCATGCTATGGCCCTGTGGGACTTGGGGACAAGGGGAACCAACACAAACATGTTGAAGTTCATGCTGCTTTCTATATGGTGAGTAATAAAGTCCTTTGTCTCTGACTCGGAAGTCTTGTACCTTCCACCAGTATCTATGAAACAGTAACAGGCTAACTTATTGTAAGTAGAGTAAAATCAAATCCCATATCCATGAAAACTGTCTATGAGGCAATTTACAAAGTTCTTGAGTATTCTGTTTTTAGTGTAATGGAATTTCCAGTGGTATCTCTAGCTGGAACTGGGCTTCTAATGGCTGATCTCTGTTAGTGTCAGCAGAAAAAAAAACAAGTAAAAAGGCTCAGGGAGCTTGTAACTCACCCAGATCCCTTTCGACTCTCACAGAAGGTGATTGGTATATGTACAAGAATGAGAAACTTGTCTCATTATCATCCTAAAAGTACAGTCTATTTTCCCTTATAATAATATCCAAGAAGCTTCATAAACTGACACTGTCTATCTTTGCCACAATATCTCTGGCCAATACTTTTCTCCTGGTTTTGCTCTTCCTCCCATAACACTTCTTACAGTTTGGTAACTTTTAATTTCCTGTATATGCGATGTTGTCTTATGTGTTCGTACCATTGTACACTTGTTCTCCTCAGCCCACCTTGCCTGGCTGGAAAATAACTATTAATCTCTTCTAAATCTTGCAAAACATCATATACCTTTCTGAAATCCCAAACAGACAACTGTTCTTGCAATAGAGCTTTATCAAGTTTATTCCTTACTTATAAACGAACTTTATCGAGTAAGGGATATACTTGATAAAGCTCTATTGCAAGAACAACTGTCTGTTCTTTTCCCCAATGCTCTCTGACCTCTTTGAGAAAAGTACCTGAATCTTATCCATCTTTGCATTCAGGGTAGCAAGAATAATACCTGGCATGTAATCATGTTCAGTAAATATTTACTGATCTAAACTAAAAATTTATCCTTGGTACCAATCATAGGGATTAATTATTGGGTAAAACAACTTGTCGAGATATTTTTATCTTTCAATTTATTTATCAAAAGTACTGACAACCAATTTGTTATTTGAGGTGTCAGATCACTTACCAGAGCACCACTGCTGAGCAAGATCATGAGAACAATAAAGCTTTCAAACCAACTGTGTTCGACTATCCTGTAGCACGTTTTCCTGATGTTCCACCAGATTTTTCCTTTCTCTGACTCTATGTTAACTTGGCAGCATGGAAACCTCCGTACACAACCTGGCAAGAAAGACATGCATGTGAAATCTTGACATTCAGAATTTTAAAAATACACTATTTAATACAAAGCTTTTTCTATGATAGTTCTTCAATCAAATAATTTCTAACAATTATACCTGCAGTTTCAAATAGATTCATCTTGGATGCCACCTTATCACCTAACTCTCCATAGTGTTTTCGTAATATGTGTCGGTTATTTCTAACTTAGAATGTAGTCTTGTCTTCTGTACTTTTCTGATATCTCATCAAATCTTTTCTACAGTGTTTAAACCACATATTTTTTTTATTATTGCAATCCTAATACAATCCTATCCTGAAACACAATGAGCACTAATAATTATTTGAAGAATGAATGAATGAATAAATTAAAGTCTGAAGACAAAAATGTATTTCAGGATCTTTTTTGCTGAAATATTAAGTTTCCTTGATGTGCATCTAGCCTGCAATCTGGTGCTGCTTCAACTCCTCTATAAAAAGCCCTTTGAGAAACACCATTCTAAGTTTTATTAAGAAAATTAGTGAAGTTCCTAAAATCAAGTAAAAAAAAAATAGATCTTGTTGAGCAGATACAGATAAAACTGTCTCAAATACTCTAAGTTAAAACCAAACCTGACATTGGAATCCTAGGTGTGAAACATACAGCTATGAAAAATTGAGGAACACTTTATTTTATATTTATTCATTCATTTCACATAAAAGATTTATTGAGTATATACTTGGTTATGTTCATAGTTTCCTCTCCTTGGGGAATTTATTTATTTATTTTTTGGCTTTAGTTAGGCAGATATAGAAATAATTGGCTATAATTGGGTAAAGTAACTAAAATGACATATATGCAGGAGTTAATCTGGTAGCATGAAAGAAGACTACCTAACCTAGCTTATTTGTTGAGAAAGAAAGTCAGAGGAAGCTTTCTGGAAGAGGTGGAGCCTGCATTGAATCAAAGTCTTAGCCAAAAAGGGTTTGGGTGGAATTCTAGGCCAAAGGCAGCAAAAGGTGTTGAGCATAGGAGTTACAAGTAGCTCAGAACTGCAATGAAAGCAAAGTGTATAGGTGAGAGATGAGGTTAGAGAAAGTGGTCAGATTGTGGAAGGCATTTTCCTCCACCTTAAGTAGTTTGGTCTATATCTAATAGACATTGGAGAGCAAGTAAAGGGTTGTAAGCAGAGAACAACAAAGGCAATAAAGCAGAGAACAATAAACAACAATGTAATTTAAATGGATGTTTCAACAGTTGTGTGGAGGATAATTTGGAACAGGAAAAAACGAAAGGGGCGGAGGTAAAGAAAGACTCAGAGCCAGAAAACCATTTAGAATTCTGGTTCAATTTCCCTAACAAGAAGGTTAGGGCAATAGAAACTAGAGCAATATTAGATTCAAGACACATTTGGCAGGTAAAATCAGTAGGATTTGGTGACTGACTGAACGTGGGATATAAGAGAAAAGGAGGAGCCCAAGAATGACTGGGTGAATGTGGTCAATGAAACAAGGACTACAGGAGCAGGTGCTCACTTGGGAGGTCACAAATCTGACATGCTGGTGAAACTTCTAGATACCGATATCCTGTAGACATCTGGAGGTGTGAAACTGAAGCTCAGAGGGAAAGCCTGGGCTAGAAAAGAATATCTAGGAATCATTAGCACGTGTGTCAGCTGACATCAAGACAGTGTCTGAGGTATTAAGGGTGAAGGGAGAAAAAGGTCAAGTCTAGAATATTCTGGAACAGCAATATTAAGGGTCGGAATTCAGTGGTGTTCTGGAGCCAGCTCAGCTCATACCAGCTCTTGATAATTCATTGTTAATTTGCCAGGAAATTTTGCTAGGCTATCGTTTAAAGGCAGTCATTATCAAAAATTAAAGTGTATAAAACTAAAATGAGTTACTTTAAAAAAGGTAACAAATATTAAAAACATATCATTTTCTAATCATTTTACTACATTTTACTATAATCTATGCTTTAGAGCATATTTTTGTATTCTATCTGGTGGTGGAAACTTGTTATAATGTTGGGCTACTGTACATTTCTTCTCAACTCCACATTTAGTGAAGTCACATCAGCAGTTTGAAATCAGCCATGGTGGAACTCTTTACACTACAAATCATCAAATATTATAAATTAGCACTTGTTGATTTTCTAGCATAGACTTAAGAATATGTTTGAAAAAATGTTAATAAAACAGAGGAAACAGTAAATGTGTGTCATGTTTGCAGCCATTACACTGTAAACAGCACAAAACTTGAGGAAATATTCTTCATTATTCAAATCCTATTATGTGATTCAGCAAAGGTTTACTCACATTACTGATAAATCGGTGAAGTTCTGACATATAGCTTCTTTGTTTCACTTCACTTTACTGATTAATGTCATCGAAAATACCAACTTTCAGTTTAAAACTATGCTTGTTCACCAATTGTAATCTTTAGTCATCTACACAAATTTTTGCAAGTCAACAAAAGCATTCTGTGAGAATCAATAAGCTACGTGGAATGTACAATAAGGAATGTTGTTTATATTATTATTTGTAAACTGAGTGCCACATATCCTTTATATCAGCAAAATTTAAAATAAACTGATGTACATGTACATACTTCTTTTTTCTTGAAGAACTCGTGGTTAAACATTTACCTGCTCACCACTGGGACAGGTGGAAGCAGAGAAAACCTTGAAGGAGGAGACAGAGTAGGAGAGGGAGAGATGCAGAGGAGGCTGCAGGAAAAGAGAGATTAATAAAAAGTTTCATGAAGGACTGGTGAACAGAGCCATGACCAAGAAAGGCCTAGAAAGGTAATGATTAAAAATTTAAAAATTAAATTAAAAAAATTAAAGTTGATTAAAATATAAACAACTAGAATTATTTTGAACGGAGAATGTTAAAAAGAGGAACTATGATTAATTCCTCTCTTAAAACATTTTAGATAAAAAAGCCTCATTTGGAAGGAAGGTAGGAGGTGGGAGTGCACTTTTTAGATACTTGTTTCAGACATTTTCAAATTAGGCACTGTAAAAATAATTTTCTTTTCTATAAAACAAATAATATATTTCATGAAAAATACTGAACCTATCAAGTAATAACTTCAAGTAATCATAAACTGTATATCCTAAAACAACAAAACTAGAATTCTCTTAATGAACTATTTTAGACAATGTCTTATTATGGCTTCTTTTATGATTCTGTAGTAAAATTAGTTCAATGATCCAGTTAATACAAGATATCTCCTAGCACTTTAATTTCCAGCTTTACAGAAATGTAGTAAGCTACGTTTTTCTCCCTAAGTCTTTGGTGTGTTTTGCTATCAGGTATATTTTGTGTTCCTGCCCTTTCTCTCCGAAAGCTTCTGATTTCCCAGAAGTCTAAAAACGTGTCTGTTATGCTCTTTCTTTCTGTTCACAGTACTTAATCTAGTCCTATACATAGCATAATATGCTGTGTATAGTTGACTGAAAAGACATAATCCCCCCAAAAAAGTTTTAAAATCATCTAAGCATTAATCATGATCTGACAAGTCTTCTCTCTGTGAATTCTAGGATATACACAAAGATTGAATAAAACAAAAAGTCAGGGTGAATGGAAAATATTCACCTGACTTCATCTGTCTAATGTTAATTACAGTTAACACGACCTCTGATCTGAAAAAAAAAAATCTTCATTGTGTTTAAGACAATTATCTTATATCTCAAATGAATTTAGTAAACAGAAAATTGTTTTATAAAATAATATGGCGAAACAGTAAAAAGATAGTGTCAAAAATTGACTCCCAGGTAATCTATTTCAGGGCAAAAGAAAACACTAGGAAGAGTGGAAAAATGGAATTAGTTTTTATATTAATTTACTGCTTGAAACTTTAGAATGTATCTTAAATTGCAAAACAAAGAACTCATGAAGGACAAAATCTATCTGCCTCAAGTATAATTACCAGAAGAGAAAGTTATCCTTTTGCTTAAGAATACTTACTATCTGGGATTTATTTTTGTAGGACTTAAAGTTGAAGAGAAATATTATTCTTATGATTGAGGCAAGAAAAGGTACTATACATTCTAATTAGAAAAGCAAATAAACTTTTTTGTCTGAGATGAAGTTTCTTCAATATTGCCCTCAGGATTTATCACACCTCAGAGAGTTTCTCTCTCTTATTTTTTGAGGTGGGAGTGCTTGACTGCTTGTCTGGCTTTTATGCAGAGGCACACCCCAAGAGATTTCCAACCTAGCTGGTTAGCAACATTATCACATCTTCTTTTTTAAAAGGACTATTAATTAAATGTAAACATAACAGAGAACCTCTCAAACATTTTAATAGGTCCCTGTGGGTAAAAATATATTTCTATCAATTGAGTGTCATACTTGTTTGCCTCTCTCATAAAATGAGATTTAGCTTGTATTTGAAGAAAATTCATGTACCCATTATAACGTATAGATACCTTTATTTGCCAGTCATTTTGTTTACTGCATGAGTGTTATAGGAGACTATTTGAGAAAATCTTGGAGAATGAAAGCAATTTGATAATTTCTATAAAAAATACTGATGCTGGGGGTAAACTCATGAGTAGAAAGTCAGTCATTAGCATAAATGCTATCATAGCTTCTATACAGGTTAACAAAATACTTTAAAAACCAAAAGGAAAGTAGAAAGAAATAGGACATACAAAGCACTGTGCTAATTAATTTATAGGAGTTATCTCATTTAATCTCCTCAACATCCCTAGGTTGTTAAACCTATTTTATAGATTAGGTATCTAAGGTATAAGATTTAAAAATGTGCTCAAGTTTCCATAGAGAGTTAGCAGTAAGCCAATTAGAACTCATGCTCAATAGGCTTCAAATCTTGTACTCTGTATCACTGTGTCACACTGCAACCCTACTCTAGGTTTGTGTTTTTACTTAGATGACACAATACTTGCTTAGAAAATACTTTCCTAGGTAAAGTTCGAATTTACTACTTTGAATAAAACCCCTGAAAAATTCAGTGAATAGTAAAAAATTCAGTTAGGCAGAAAATGAAAAGTAACGAGAGGAGATACCGTTAGAAAAAAATAGATAAAGGCCAAAGGCCTTTATGCTAAGTTAAGGACTTCAGGTTTTATCCTATAAACCAATGATTTTCAAATTTTAGTGAGTCAGAATACACTGGAGGACTTGGATCCTATCCTCAGAGTTTATGATCAACTTATGGTTTCTGTGATCAACTTGTGGCTAGAAAGAAAGAGATTAGGACTGACTCAAAGTCTTTAGCTTGAGAAGCAGGATAGATCATGATGTCGCTAAATAAAATAAAGACTGAAGGAAGATGTAGGTTATGTAGATTAACCCACTAAAGTTTGTTTTAAACTTATTAAACTTGAGACGCTTAAAGGAAACAGAGATGACCAGTGGAGAGTTGTAGGCAATTCTGGAACTCAAGAGTGAGGATAGGGGTAAAGATAATGATTTAAGAGTCAACAACACAAAAACGGTTGTTCAAGCTATAGACATGGATGAAAGCCCTTAGGGCTAGAGAATAAAAACAGAAGATAACCAAGTATCAAAATGTGGAGGGACATCATTATTTAATGGATGTCCACAAAAATAGTCACTAAAAGAAAAAAGGGAAGAAACTCAGAACTCTCAGTGATATAAAAGAAGAATACAGGTACAGTGTGGCCTCTGAAACACAGAGAAGGAATAATTTCAAGGCAGTCTGTAGTGAACTGTAGTGAAAAAATTAAAGCTACTCAACTAACTCTCAGTAAACATTAAACAGTTTACTGAGAGTTAGTTGAGTAGCTTTAATTTTTGAAGAAAAGGACAATAGTATCATCTATCCCATTAAATTGTATTCTAGTGGTTTCACGGAGCTGGGAACATGAATTAAGGATCTAAAATGAGACGTATGAACATCCTAGAGTAAGTAAAAGTCTATTAGAGTATAACACACTGTCATTGTAAATTATTGTTAGTAGAGTATCATAAATATGCAAAGGGAAGCTTAGATAGCTCCAATGACTTGCCCTTGGTCATAGAGCCAAGACTGACTCAGCATGAAATGGAGTCTTCTGACTTTTTACTAAACAACCCCTGGTAAGAATTAGGTTTTAAGATAAAATCCAAAACACTAATAAATGAATGCTAACCAAGGTCTTTATTTTTCTCTTACCATCTGTAAAACAGGCTTCTGGCTCATCTGAATTTATAGGTTCAGCCTCTGCTTCTTCTTCTCCTGGCAGAGGGTTATCAACTGTGCTGCACTCAGAGGAACTCAACTGGTTCAGTCTCTAAAAAGAAATTCACCATCCCACCAGATAGTTCATTTAGAGTTCAGTCAAATCTTGCATTTAAGCCATATTTAATAATCAGAGTCATGCAAAGTATTATGGAAAAAAGATTAACAGTATGATGCCATAAAAAAATGTATAAACACACATTGAGGTCAAGTAACCTTACAATGAATCTATGCTTGATCTATCTACACATCCCATGAAAAATAAATTTTATTATTTTTATTATGCTAACAAGTATTTAGACAGAATTAGCATAAGGTAATATTCTGATGTAAACTCTAACATTTGCAAAGTATTGGCCACATTTTTATTATTTTTTATGTTTCTTGTAAATTTGTATATACCAGTAATTATTATTTTAGGACAACCAAGACCCTAAAAGCAAAACATTCAAATGCCAAATTGCCAATGCCTGATAATTGAAAGATCAGATATGAAAGTTGGCTGAAAAAAAAACTTGTTTATACTTAAAATTAAAAAAAAGAAAGAAATTAATGTAAAATTAAATCCAAACATATTTCTTCTATTGTCTGTTGGATTTAAGAATATGTATCAGGATGATATAAATAAGAAGGCCTTCCATGAGACCAAAAAAGTCAAATATTATATTGGAATCAAAATGCCAAAGACCATAGTAATTATTTCATCCAAGACCACCTATTTTAGTATTAAATTTCAGGATATAGTAGAAAAGATCATAAAGTATTATTTATAATGTCAAGAGATAGTGGCTACTAAAGTGAGTACCACATGCAAACTCTGAAACAAAGATTTAATGAAATTAAACATGGCAGACTAACACATGAGAGGAATGAATCCATTGTCATTATGATCATAAATTGATCATAATACAAACAAGTTTTTCCCGCCCAGAACTTTATGATATGATATTTACACACATACAGAGATTTTTAGAAAAAACTACACGTAGCAATTGTAGTAAAACTCTGTCAATTTTTCCTAATATTGTTTAGTGGCATATCAATGGAAGGTTTCATTTTTCATTCTCATTTGCTAAATGACATGTGAATATTGAAAACTACTAGCTATTACAGCATATACTTCTCTTATTAAGATTACAGCTTTACTTTTGTTTAGAATAGTTAAAACAAACGCAAATGCTAAAAATGAGGACATACTCATTTCAGCTAAATTAATTCTTCAATCTATTAACTTGCATTAATATCATAGGCTCAATCTAAAATATTAATTTTTAGAGATTGACTTGAAAGCTAAAAGTATTTGTCATAGATGCCACATTAAATTCTCAGTGCTATTATTATCACACAGTCTTCAACATCAATGAAAAAGGCATTGATAAAGTATTGTACGTAAGAAATGATGTAAGCAAAGTTCTTTTTAAAATAGAAGTAAAAAAATTATGAATACTCTATTAAATTAATACCCATAATCTATGTTGGCATAGGGGTATTATTCCTACCAGGTTGAAGAGTTATAATAATTTCAGTTATGAACAGTATCAGTATGAAATTTCATTTAAAACTTAGATTATTTAAAACTGATTGAAGTAATCTAAAATTACTTTAAAAAAAGGAAACAGAAATTAATTATGACTGAATATTTTGTAAGACTTAAGGCTATAAAATATACATTGCTCCAGGAAACAATGGGAAAACTTATAATTACTAATACGTCCTATTGTGCCAATTATCACACACAAAAAATTAAGTACTATACCTAAAAACCTACAATTATTTGATGTCCTCAATTCCTGACCTCTCACCTGCAAGTGAACTGTCACCAGGGAACTGAAAGACAAGGCACTATGATTCTTTGGAGATGAGACTAAATCTTTCAACCCTGAGAAAAGAATTATTGGCCTGGATTTTCAGGCAAAGCGGTGAGAGGAATTGCTGATTGGAAGACTAGAAAGCTAAAATAGTGACAACTAGGAAACAGTTTAATGGTTTTCTTTCAGCTGGTAACAACTTTAATAAGAAATTATTCTAATCTGCAGAATTCTGAGTTAGGCTAAATTAATGAAAACATCCTTAACTTCAATATTTGGTTTCCTCACTTTTTAAAAGAGCATTAACAAAGAAGACTTATGCCAAGTTAATTTATAAGCAAGTAAAAGTTAAGATGATTTGATGAAGTGTGGCTCGTCATTGAAACTTTCTTTTTCATAACATTTATGATAATTTTTTTGTCAGTTTAATTCAGAGTTTGGATCAGGTTTCATATCATAAATGAGAGTTATTCAATGTTATTTCTCACTGTAACAGAAATTATCAAAGTATTTAACATAAACTATAAATAGTTTGTATCACAAGCCAATTTATTGTGGTTTTTTTGGAAATTTAATGTTTAGAATGTTTTTAGAAATTCAGTATTTTTCTGGAAATGCATTAATTATTTACACAGTAACTATTTCAGTTTTGTGTATACATTAAATATTTATGTGCATTCCCTATCAATACAGTTTAGTTCTAACTTATGCAGCCTTTAAATTCAATACTTATTAAAGTATAAGTTTTCTTAAAAGGGTATCATTTGTATCATTTTATATAATTAATTATATGATCATTTTCATTTCTATAAATGTAATCATTTTTTTAATTTAATTTCCTTTCTTATAACTTTGGAAATGGAAAAATGATTATATTATAATAAAAGCAGTGAAATAAATACTTTAGTATAAAATTTTCTTTGATATTATAAATAAGCCATTTTGTAATTTCCATGAAATTTTCTTTTTAATAAAAAGTGAAATACACTTTTTGTCTATTATTTCTTTGCTTGTAAATAAAAAAATATATATTTTTATTTTTGGCAGTCTACATATAAAGAAAAGTGTAAATATAGGACCATAGAGGCAGACTCACTAGTATTAGCAATAGAAAGTATGCCATAGTTATTGAATAATATGATATTGATTGTCGGTACCTTCTAAAATTTTGTCTTTCCTTTAAATAAAACCTATATACTACAATCAAAAATTTTAAATGTATAAAAGTAGAAAGCAAAAAAAATAACCCTCTCCATTTTGACAGATTATATTCCTTTTAGGTAATTGCTATATAGTTTACATATTTTTTTTGGCATATCTTTCTATAGTCTTCAATGTGCACCCATAAAGCAATTAATTTGGAAACATTCCTAATCTTGATTATAAACTTAAGCAGCTATCTAAGCAGCACCTTTCGATTATTAAAAATATGATCAAATTATAAGCTTTATAATTCTTTGTGATTCTCCTTTTGACTGCCCTGGGGTATGTTTTTTACAACACTGCATATAAGCTGAGACCCCGCTAAATATAAATATCCTATGAGAAATTGCCTTAAGCTGGTCGCTTAGAAATTTACTACTGATATTTCCTGAGATAAAGAATCACATTGTAAGGCTATTTCATGCTAGTACAAATAATGGTTAATGCTATTTCGTCATTTCTTGTTTAGGGAGGTATGAAGTAGAATTGTCTAATGACTTGATAATCTGGCCCTCGAAGTAGAAAACCACCAAATACATAGCAGCACTGTAGAAAACAAAACTCAACAAATACCTTATTCAAAGAAGATGTTAGGTGTTGAAAACATCCCAAAGATGTTAAAATATGTACTAAACATTTTTTTTAAAAGAAAAAAATATGAAATATTGGAAGGTAAAAAAATAAAATGGACAAAATAAAGTATGTACGATAAGGTTGCTTCACACAAGAAAAGATTTTTTGAGGAGCAGAACCTAGAATAGTTACTTCACTATGCATCAAAACAAGAAACAAGACAGCAAAGAAGCGTATTGAATGAAAGACAAACAAGAAGCATATTGAATGAAAGAAATGGGCATCAGTGAGAAGAAAAATAATGAGCAAGCTTAGTGATAAACTAAGGTCAACTGGATGTCAAGAAGCAAGAAAGGTATTTTTATTAAAATTAAGATCGCCGATTTAAAAAATTTTATAGCCTAATTTTACAATTGATAACTATAATGAGGATCCTGAGTCATTAAGGAGTAAAACAGTAAAATTCAGACTTAAGGACCAAAGGATCTTTACAGAGGAATTCCACAGCTGGCTACTACACCTTGTCTAAGAGTCCAATGTTCTCTAACTTTACCATTCTAATATGAGATAACTTGAATTTTAAATATTCTATTCTGGTTTAGAACTAAAATATGCTTTCCTCAGCCTTGCAGTTGTGAGAACCTTTTTATTTGCCTTCTGGAGAATGAACAGATCCTCTCATCTGTAGATCGGCAAGAGAAAGGCTATGTAACCGCTATGATTAGAAAACAGCTATTTGGAGTTGCTGCCTAGGCATTTTACAGTATGACAACTCTATTCACACCCTGAGTCTGGACATTTAGAGAAGAAACTGAATTCAAGATTCCTGCTCCAAGTTCCTGTTCTGATTTTCCAGGGGTCACCTTTAAAAAAAAATAACCACTTAGAGTTGAGCCTGAGAAAGTTAGTGACCTCTGCCCCAACCATTTTACAACAGGTGCTTGCTACCCTACTCTCTCGCTCCTCTTCTGTTTGCTCTTTTTTTTTTTAATTTATTTTTATTTTTATTTTTCAAGTACAGTTGACATACAATATTTTCCTATTTGCTCTTGACCTGGGAAGGAGGGCTGCCTTTCCCCCAGCTCATTGCACTGCACCTCCTCTGCCCCCCAGTTTCTTAGATCTGTAAGTAATAAATCTTGTGACTTTAGAAAAAATATTTGATTATATTTTATAACGTTTTAAAATGGAGGTCACCTATAATATTACAATTGCAGTTTTCATATTGGGTGTAATGATATTTCATTTCTTTACATGATTTAGTTTTCTGAGCCCCTCAAGGCCCCTACAATCCTTTCTGGTCTCTCTGAAACTTATCAAGGTTCTTTTAAAATTTTAGAAAGATAATGCCTCACTAAATAACATTATCTAGGAAAAAAAAAAAAGTCCCAGGTTGAAAAATACTCCAGATATTATTCATCAATGAAATTCAATACTACAATACTATTTTCCTGTGTTAGTTTAGATT